TATATGATTTTCTTTTTAACTAACCTTTCTGTTTGTTAATATACTGTATGCCTGTGGACTACAGCACACTTTTTATGTGTTATGGACATGAGTGGAGGGTGAAGTGTTCTGTTGTCCTGACACACTTGTCTTAGGTTACAATGCTGCTCTTTCATAGATACAGTACAGAGAGTAAGTGTTGTCATCCTAGGGTGGAAAGTGTGTTGATGTCAGGTATCGGGAGATAATTTAAAGCAAAAACAAGCCTAAAAACAAAACAAATGAAGCCACTGCATTTGGGGACTGGTAAAATGTATTGCATTTTTGTTCTTGGGTTTGGATATGCTTTAACTCTATTACTATAACAAATGTTATATATTAGGGGTCTGTTGGACTCCGAATGCCTCCTTTGCTCTAATGCCAAGAGACTGGGTACAGAGAAATGTTTACACAGCTACTGCTGGCTGGGGTTTGACAGTTTTGAACCCAAAAGTTCCCAGAGCTGAGCATTACTGGGTTCACACTTGTAGAGGGGATCTGAAAATGGTTGACAGACGTGTTTCCACTTTTTTCAATTTTCAGAAAACCCCACTATATGTTATCACCTTTCTATTGGTTTCTTTGGAGCAAGCTATTCCGAACAATTGTAAAGTGAGAATGGAGAGGGACAACGTGAGAACTGATTGAGACTCTGCTCATTAACATACAATACAAGCCCTGAGATCTTTAACCCTTTGTTAGAACGGACTGTTGAGGTCTAATAAGTGGTAATGAGATCTACCAGCCCAGTACAAACCTGGTTGATTATGGCAAATATTCACTTCCAGCCCCCTCTTTAACATCGCATAGCAAGGAAATCTTGCATTTTCAGAATAGAGCACGTGAAAGGTAAGCAGGCATTTTAAATGTTTTTTTTTTTTTTTTTAAGTAATGCTGTGTGAATGGGTCCATATAATAACTCGGAATTAAATCACCTTACTGTTTTTGGTTGTGAGTAAGGTACGGGCGCTGCATACAGATCACACAGAAAGCTAAGTTTACTTTTACATTTATGATAAGCGTCACTTTATTTTCCCTGAAAGACGTCACCAGCACACCTATGGCTTGGTCATGCTAAACTTGATGAAGGGGAGCCTTTGTGGCCCTGAAATGTTATGTGACATCTTGCGGCAGTAAAGAAGATGGATTTTTGACAAAAGCTAAAGGTGTGCTGGTGACTTCTATCACATAAATCTGATGTGCGTGGCGCTATTCATGGTCACTGCCGCACCCTCCTTCATCTAAAGTGGTTTCCGGTAAGGAGTGCAGCAGTTCTCTTAACGTTATTTTCCCTTTTCCTATGTGATGTCTTCCATATTGTGTCACCTGTTTCTAGTTGTGTCACTGCTAAGTGGCTATGTTTAGCTTTGTGTGAACAAGGCTCAAGAGAAACCAAGTGTGCACATCACATGGAAGTAGTTCTGGCCCTGTATCAAGGGTTATCTAATCTTACTCTTTCACTAAGGCAGGATGTCAACTCTTGCTGATTAGTTACATAACAAGACAGTGAACTCCATTTACCTCTTATCTAGAATGACACAGAAATGGGCCGCCACCTGCTAATTCTCCGAAGATGCTCATTTCTATTTAGTGAGTCAAGGACTTGAACCTGGGACTTATTTTAGACACTTTTTGTCACCGGACTGACCCTTTTAATGAGGAAATGGACATGTGATTGACACTTTAAGCTTTGTTTCCATTAGTAGTGACTTCATATAAGATCTACTTGCTTTAGTATGACTTTTCTGCAGAAAAAAACATTGATAAACTGCAATTAGCTGAACTTTACCTCATTATGTGTTGGGTAGCTTACAGTGTACTTGCCTGAAACATTGCTCCTTGTAGAGCTTAGATTGGTTGTGTGTCTCTCTTACAAAGATTTCCGAATCCTGTCCTTCATATATGCATGGTCGTTACTACAGAGACTTGTTCCATTGTACGTTCCACACTAACTTTATTGGAAAGCTGGTCTATAGTAATGGATGGGGAGTCTTGTCCTAGTGACACACACTTCTTACCTGCCTCTTGATGAGCTGTACCATTGATCTTTGCACTGCAGCTGTTCATGTCCAGCAAGAAGAACCATGAGCAGCAGAGTAGTGTCCTCACCAAATCTTGTGAGATAAGCAGTCATAGGCAGCAGTGCCTTAGATCTCACTCTGAAAATATACAAAACATGATGCGGTCCGCACTCGGGTAACACAGACACTCTCTGGTGATGGGAACTATGTGGCCAGAATTACTGGCTAGATGCCTAATAAATCTAATCTGAGCAGTGTATGAAGATAAACTAAGTATGAGTTTTGATTAAAGCGAGGAAAAGAGATGTGACTGAGTGCTACACCTACATTATACATATGCTCTCTGCAAAGTACTAACATATCTTACAGCGCTGCATTACGGAATAAACGTCAGTCAAAGTATCGCAGCGCTGAACACTGAAAAATGGCCTGGCCAGGAAGGGGGTCTAAACACCTGGTCTTGAAGTGGTTAATTTGACGTGCACATGTTATTGTATGTGGCTAGTTCGCCCCTTTTATCCAATTGTTGTCATTCAGATGAGTCCATTAGCCAGACTATAGTTTTTTCAGCCCACTTCAGAGTTGTGCATAATGCAGCTGTACACAAATTAGAAAACATGTGTAATCAATAACGTATAGACTGACTTGCACAGAGGTTTGTTTAATGTACTCCTCATTCAGAACCTGTCATTTATGCTTTTTCTGCTTGGGGATTTTTATTTTATACGCTTGAATTCCCTGTAAATTATTACCACTCATTGGCACCTGAAACAACGGTTTTGGTTTACAGTATGTGAATGGGAACGCCTCCTGCCTGACTTCTAGTTCCTCCTTAGACTCCATGAATACACAAAATGGCTCATACATTTTTCATGTTCTTCACCCCTGCAGTGGTAGCGGGGCAGCTGTGGCTCCTTCACATTGGAAAAGAGAAGAACTGTAATGAAAAGCTCCCACCTTGAAGGAGAGCTTTGTTATGATGGCTCACCATACATATGAAAGGGATAATAAAGCTTGTCATGTTTACTGCGGCTTCATTTAAATGTCTAACTGGTAGTCTTCGGAAGACTATTCATGTCTTCAGACTACGTCTCCTTCTGCTTGTTGAATTATACATAGTTTTTTATATGATCTTTTTTCAGTCACAACATCCTGTAAAGTATATTTATTACAGGTATTTATATTGTGACGACAATTTACGCAGAGTTTTTACATACTGTACATCCACATCAGTCCCTGTCCTCAAGGAGCTTACAGTCTAAGGTACCTATCTCACATACATACATACAGGGCTGATTTAGACAGAAGCCAACTAACCTGTGTGAAAGGGGCCTAAGGCTGGCCATACACCTATAGATTATTCATGGTCAGATGGAAAAAGTGCAACAGATTCCTCTATCTACGCTAAGCTGTGTGGATGGATGAATCTCCCACTGGGCCAAGCTTCAGTATCTTGTTAGTCGGCCCCGCTGGCTCGCAAAACACCTGAACAATGCCTGCATCCAATCAGATTGTTCCGGTATTTTGACAGCCAGCGGGGCCCGCAAGCAAGACATTGAAGCTTGGCCCAGCGGGAGATTCCTCCATCCACACAGTTTAGCGTAGATTGAAGAATCTATTGCACTTTTCCCATCTGACCATAGAAAAGCTGCAGATAATCTATAGGTGTATGGCCAGCTTTACCCCGAAAATGGGAAGTTAGTCACAAATGACAAGGAGAGGGCAGAGGCGCTGAACACTTTTTTCTCCTCAGTATACACTCAGGAGGGAAACGGGTTTGACGTACATGATAAAACACCTAGTTCAATACAAAATATACCCCAGTGGTTGACGGAAACCGGGATACAACAAAGACTTAAACTGCTCAATGCAAATAAAGCAGTGGGTCCGGATAACCTGCACCCCAAGGTACTTAAGGAATTAAGCCAGGTTATAACTAGACCATTATTCCTAATTTGTAAGGACTCCTTAATGACTGGTAGGATCCCCAGTGATTGGCAAGGGCTACGGTAGTTCCAATATTCAAAAAGGGGGCAAGGTGCCAACCTGGGAACTATAGGCCGGTCAGTCTAACATCGGTAGTTTGTAAAATGCTAGAGGGCATAATAAAGGATTATCTGGTAGAATTTGTTCAGGAAAACGGGATAGTTAATGACAATCAGCACGGGTTCAGGAAAGATCGTTCCTGTCAGACTAACCTACTGACTTTTTATGAGGGGGTAAGTAGAGATATGGACGGAGGTAAGCCGGTGGATGTGGTATATCTGGATTTCTCAAAGGCTTTTGATACGGTACCACACAAACGCTTACTGAGATCCATGGGCATACCGTGTTTCCCCCGAAAGTAAGACCTAGCGCTATCTTCAGGGATTTCTGTAATATAAGACCTACCCCGAAAATAAGACCTAGTTCGGTGGTAGGTCTTATCCCTGAAGATATCGCTAGGTCTTACTTTCGGGGTAGCTACACATATAACTGATTTTTAAATGTAAAGACCTTTGTAAAGTGTTGCTGTGTCATCCAATCAGAATGTAGTTTTTCCAGCGCTTTCACTACAATGAGAGGAATGGGGATGCTAAGCATTACTTCACTTGTTACACTTTATTTCAGAAGCCTTGTGTGTCTTCCAGTGAAAGCTCTATGTAAATACAAGTCTTTGGGTAAAGCTATGAGGATTGTTTGTTTACTCAGAACCAGAAACCGCCTTTAAGCTGTTTAATTCCTCATTTGCATTATTTGCCAAATCTGCGGAAAAGAGCATTTCATTTCATTTGAATATACATAATTGGAACTTGTTTTCTGTAAATCGGATTCTGGCAAGGTTTAAATCTTCCCGTTTGAGTTCTTGCTTCACTGATGTGTCATGTATATCGTGATATGTCTGTAGGTATGATGTGCTGCACTCCTCTTTGTGTTCTGGAATTCACTTACATCCAGTCTTTTCTTTTCTTGAAATTGCAGCCTGCAGAAATCGATGTTCTGATAGGAAAGGACAGAGAAGGATTCTTCACTAATGGTCTAACTGTTGGAGGAAAGAAATGCTCGGTGATCAGAGACAGCCTGTATATTGAAAATGATTACACAATGGATATCAGGACAAAAAGTCAAGGCGGAGAACCAACATACAACATTGCTGTAGGGAGAGCTGTCAGAGGTAAGGATATTATTAATGTTAAACGTTGCAGCTTGAAGGAAAATGTTTTAGTATTCTTTGTCTTTTTTTGTTCCCCGATAAAAGTGAACGTTATCTCCTTGGTGGAAATCTTCTAAATGTGTGTTTTTTAGAGAAAGAATTACACTATACACAGGGACATGTCTTTTCATCTGTCATGGGTGCAGGCAGATGTGCTTATTATCTGCATGGCAGGTGCTTGCTTCTCTACTTTTCCTTTATTACAATGCAGGTTTATAAGCCTGGGGACTAGTTGAAAAGAGTGGCTTCTAGATCTTTGGCTGTGATTGTAATTCCACGGTTAATAAAGGAGTTGAACTGCATAAAGTGGTGGAAATATGGTACAGCATGCTATAGGCATTGAGAAGGTAACAGTGAAGGAGTCCCAGCATATACTACCCTGTTATAACAAAGTCCTGATCTGTGAGTATTATCTCATTACAGCCATCTTTCATTGTAACACTTTGTTACAATGTTACTGCTCCCAGCAATTCTAATTAATTGACATGGACAGTTCTACTCGCTATTAACACTTGCCCCATTTCCCCGTTCTCTTTGGCCACTGGCCTTTAAAAGAAAATGACAATGATATTATTTTGAAACACGATATACAACCTCAATTTGCAAAAAGTTGGGACGCTGTGTAATATCTACATGAAAACATGTAAGATTTCCAGAAAACATTCAATATGTTTTCTATTTTGTATTGTGAATAAAATATATGGGCTTGTGAGTTTTGCATTCTGCTTCTATGTATATTTTACACAGCGTCCCAACTTTTCTGGAATTGGGGTTGTACTTTGTGTAAGAATGCCAAGATTACTGTATGAATGAACAAGACTGCATTATATTGTCAAGAGTGTGTTTTACTTATGACCCGTCCTCTTGCCTGTAATCACCTTTAGGAAAGTCTCTAAGGGCCAATTCAGACCTATCTGGTCCGATGCAATGTGTTAAGGCAGCTGATTCATTTGACTAGGCTGCCAAGGCACCACGACGGACCTAAAATTGAACCTTCACCAATATTGTGCGTTGTGCTGCACTGCAACCCAGCATCAGGTGTGTGCTGGTTAATAAACATAAATTTACTGCAAACACTTTTAGTATTTCATCTAGCCTTGTCCTGCTCCCAAAATTAGTTCTTAACCTCAAAAATGTAGGGTGATTCATGATGTGTGTTGCTGTGTGCTGTATGTATACATGTGTGTTCTGTTGGTGCTAATGGGTGTGTTATATGTGTGTGCAAAAGGGATTTTTTTTGGGGGGGATGGAGGGAAGGGGTTAAAGTTTCTGCTAGTTTTTGTCGCTGTCTGTGTCCTTTTGGGGAGATTTCGCTCTGTTCCAAAGATGCAAAGAAAATTAAATGAAGTCTACAAAGGAAGGGGAATAGCCCTCTTGGACAGTTGTCCCCTGAACAGATGCCTCCATTGGAAGATTTCCTCCCACCCTCTGTTCTGGTGACAGCTCAAACATACCACCAATTCCAGTCCAAGTGGCCCCATCTCTGCTCAGACAGATGCACATCCAGCTCATCACTGAAAATATACTCCAACTAGAGATGCACCGATATCGGTACTAGTATCGGTACCGGGTATCGCTCAAATGCTCCCAATACTAGAACTTCCGCTATCAGGAAGCCAGTAGGCGAGTCATTACACGCTATCAGGCTTCCTGATTGGCCGGGAAGCCAGCTTCATGCTCCATTGTCCCTTGGTGATGGGGGAGCATGGAGCCAGCTTCGCGGCCAATCAGGAAGCTGGATGTCGTGTAATGACTCACCGGCCAAGCCAGAAAGCCGCCTCCATGCTTCCTTGTCACTTGGTGGCTCATCAGGAAGCCGGGTGGCCAGTCATTACACACCGCCCGGCTTGCTTTTAATAGGACTTCCGGTATCTGTATTCATATCGGCGAGTACTAAAAAAAATAAAATGTCAACAGTCCAGTTTGTTTTCTAATTAGTTTCTTGTACGAACACTGGGTACAACTCCTGTCATTCTCAGATCATAATCGGTCTCCTTTTAATCACTTGTGAGCATAAGATTTCACTATTTTTTTCCCTAAAATCTAGTTTATCTTCAATAAAATTAATAATCAAAGCGCTTGTCAACAATAGGCTAAGCAGGGGCAGGAATAGCTTTATTTTTCTTTTCTCTTCCTTTCACTTTTTTACAAGCAAATGCGTTCTGTAAGCAGATGTATTAGGCAATCGGTGGTTGGGCTGGAGTGCACAAAGCAGCCCGGGGCTCTGAAAAGCCCCATAGTGCTAGTGTGTGTGCATGGGTACAATATATCAGCAGCTGCTTCTCACTTAACAAGCTAGTTCACTTCTCAAGTGTGAGCACAGGCACAGCAGCTGTTGTTTTATTGCTTTTTTCAGCACAATTATCTTCTTTGTTTAATTCCAAAATGAAATTGCAACTTGTAAGCCATAAAGGTCGTGATTCCTTTTTGTTTCTATAGTCTATCATTAAATCTAGTAGCATTGATTTGTATGGAGCTTACCAAATTTATCTTACAAACAAAGATCAGCACTTTTCCCCCTATGGTTTCTCTGGGCCTGCAAATGGCACCTTTTCAAAAGGCCGGAAATGTGGACTCCACACTTTAGTTTCCGCTTCATACCTACTACCAGCACTTGTTAAAGCCATGTCCCACAAAACCTTCCTGCTTTTTGCTCCTGGCTTTGTGCTCCGATTCATTTCCCAGTAGCCAGGAGCCCAGTATGACCATAGCTGGTGTCTAATTTTTGTCAAAGGATGTAAATATTCCCTGGCTCCTTTTTAAGTCTGCATGAATACAGTTCTATCACAATATACAGGAACAGTATAATAATTCAATGAAGCTGTGTCATTTATCAATATAAAGCAGTTTTATTCAAGAAACTGTGCCTAGGCTGAGATTGTCATCGGTCTACTGCAGGCAGGAGGAAGCATTTCCTCTCCACAAAGATCTGACAACATTGTAAGGTTACATTCGCACGGGGCATTCGAGGATTCTTGTAGCAAGAACCTACAGATTACAAGGGTGCGAATCCCAGGTGTCCTGATTGACCATTGAAGTTGATGACAGGGTAACAGCGGCCGCATCTGTCAGCGGCAGTTCACATGTAATGGTACATTTGTATGAATATATGCGTTTTGGGATAGATGATGGTGCCTGGACACAGTATAGATACATCCCAAACCACTTGGGATATGGGCCTTACTTTGACACAGTTCAGCCACTGCTGTAGCCTCTAACCTTGTGACTTGTTAAGACATTTGTGAGCACAGCCAAGAATGGAACAGGCTTTGCATGACTGTGTCATCTATGAGCCATCTTCTCAGTCCAGGAATAAGATGCTGACCTCAGATGGTGCCTGAGCCAGCGTCTCAGTCCAGGAAGTAAATGCTGACCTTGGATAGTGTTGAACAAAATGTTCAGTGGTGATGGCAACTTCGGCACTGAACTTTTTACTGTAAACTCTGTAACAAGGACTAGAGGCCACCACCTAAAATTGGAGAAAAGATTTATCCACAAAGGGCATAGGGGCTTCTTTTCAGTTAGAGCGGTTACATTTGGGAACTCTGTGCCAGCGGTGGTATCTGCAAAGAATATTGATTAGTTCTAAAATCAATTACAGTAGATACCTTCCTCAGAGACCGTAACATACAGGGGTACAGGTACACTTAAATACTAGACCACACAGGGACTCTTAACACACACACACACACACACACAATGCATGCCTCTTTCTCATGGGCGTCAAGAACAGGCATTTGCTCTGTTATTTAATCTTGCCAAAAGCTTTTCATAGATGATGGCTGTTCTGTAAGATGACAGCAGACGGACACATTTGTGTCACTTTTCTTTGCCTTGTGCTATTTTGGATGTAACCAGCAAGGTGTTGGCCACTTGCAGAGCTTGCCAAATGCCTCAATTAAAGTCAATGACTGTGTGCCTTAGATTTGCCTCAGACACTTGTAGTGAATTCCTTCCAAAAGAACTTCAAAACTGTTTGTATCAAGGGATTCTGAAAGGTTTAGCCAGCCCTTTACAAATACCTCCTGAATGTGTCAAATAGGCCAAAAACGTGCTTTACACTTGCAGGTTATTTAGAATGCCGCCTTACTTCTGATGCTAGGTACGGCAAAGATTTCTGCTCAACCTGTACACTGAGCTGCACATGCTGTCTGTGCCGCCTCGATCTGTGATGCCTAAACATTACCATTTTGTGCAAGGTGTCACGGGGACAGGAAGTGAAGCACAAGCTCCCCAACAGCGTCACAGGCAGACATAAAACCCAGGCAGTAAATGCAACTCTTCCATACTTGATTAAATTAGGCTTTAACCCCTTCAGCTCCTGCACCTATATAGTTCTTTTGGATCAGACCAATTTACATTTGTGCTATAGGCCTATTGCTTCATCCATAACATTGTCATTCCTTAAAATAACAAAGTAATAGAGTCATGAGGAAAAGTAAGGAAAGTCCATATAAATTGTTGACTTTTAAAACGTATTTGAACAGGAAAACATTAGACTTTAATTCAAACTGTGCCTACAGATAAAGGTAATATACTAGAGCCAGATACTAGATACATAAAATGGACTTGGTTCATTCATTCTCACAATATATAAAGCAACGAAAATGCACAGTTTATCATGTGGAAAGAGGGAGCACACCCCTACATTTATTACTATTTCAGATCCATGAATCTAGAATCAGATGTTTCAGATTAGGTGCCTATGGTTAGAATGTCCTTAGGGAGTATATATAACCCCAATTCCCCCCAAAATGGGGAAGTTATGTAAAATCTACCTAAAAACAGAATGCAATGATTTGTAAATCTCATAAAACATATTTTATTCACAATAGAAAATGTAAAACATATCAAATGTATAAACTGAGAAAATGTAAAATTTTAGGAGCCTCTGTACTGAGTGCTTCTCCCCATTGAGAAACTCATGAAGGAACAGGAAGTGATGTAAAGTATTCATAACCCGGGACTCCTAGTACTATGTGTCCCCAGTTGTTTACACACCTTTGGGGTGATCAGCTGATCACTCCAGTGTTCGCTCTGCAGAGAGAATCGGTTCATGTCACAGATATTTACCGATCCTTTGCTCTGCCACGCTGAAACTGACAGGATGTTGGCGGCTTCTCTCTCCTCCCCGTTTGCTGCTCTCTCATGACACTTGGCCATCCGGATCATCGGGTCCCTCCTCCACCCCCCGCTGGTTATTTCTCCTCGGATACCCGCTGCCTCAGCCCGTAAGGGCGGGGATCTGAGGAGAAGCCTGGAGTGGCTCCAGGCAGGGAGGAGACTACAGATGCTGGCAGGGGACGCCTGTAATTTCTGTTACTAGCCGTCATTAGCCGCTGATGACAGCTATTATTTTACAGGGGAGAGTCAGGGGAACCCTTCTGGTATAAAGCGACTAAGAGCTTATAGCAGAAGGGTAAAAGCCACCGGCGTATGGCATATTGAGGTGGCCAACTGCCAGCGGTTGTGTTCCGCTGGACTGTGTGTACTTACCGGAGAAAAGAGGTTTTGTCCTTTCACTTTGTGTTGTAGATTTCCTCTCCAGGGTTTTCAGGGAGCATTTCTACTTGTATTGATAGTACTAAAAGAAAGTTACAGGAACAAAACTGAGATGTTTATTTCTGTCTTCAGGGCCATAGCATAAGCAGCGGTCTCCCGTGGCTTGGTTGGTGTGTAAAGTGTATGGCCAGCCTCCTAGACTCTTGTTTTCCTTGACCTCCAATAAGATAGAGGTGTAGGAAAGTCTACAAAGCAGAAATCTCGGCCTGTGTACTGTATGTGTAGCATGCAAATAGGAGTCGTCCTATGTGCAAATGTTATTCCATGCCAAACACCGAAACAATACTATTAGACGTCAGAGCTGAACTCCACAGATGATTTACATAGGAGATGCCAAGAATGTGTCTTCTGTCCATTCAGATCTGAAATGTACAGCCGGGAGGAGGACAATACTTGTCACTGTTATAGACTGTAGAAGGACTACGGTGGTGTTTGGGGTTTCTTTACTCTCGGTTGCTAACTGGACAGTGAAAGAAGAAGCAGCAAATTGATAAGGTTATCCCTGGACTCCTTCTGCTCTCCTATCACTAGACGCATTCAAATCAAATAAATGATCTAGCTGCTTTCATTTGTATCTGCTTGGAGTGCAGCTTTAACAATCCTTGGTAAGATTATCGATGGGTAGGGAAGGTAGACACAATAACTTTCTTTCCAATAATGAAGTATGATGTATACTTTAATATATATGATGTATCCTGTTTGGCTTGAGTACTCTCTGTGTTGTTTAGACTGTCAGTTGCTCTCTGACTGCCGCTAGCAGAAGAGTTATCTATTTGTGGGCAAAACACGAACTCTGTTGGATGCTGAAGAGCATATGTGTTTTCAAAGCAACGTACCTGCTCCCTCATGGCTTCTGTGCATCATTCTTTGGCTCCATATCAAGTTAATGTAAAGGAGGCTGGCACTGGACTCATTTGTGTCACTGCTATGCTTAATGCACACTCCTCATGCTAATAGTCAGCGTGTGCAGAACATTTTATAAGGCACAAGATCTCTCCCAGCTTGTCTTGTGTTTTCATCTAAGGCCACCGCTGAGCCTTGAAGGAAGTGCGGAGGTGTGGAATGGTTGTAAGGCCAGGGGAGTTCCTGCATCTGAGGTGGTCCATACACTGTCATGTTTCTTTGTTCAACCTGTGGGCTGAATGAAGAAAATATACCCGACACTTCTGTACATTGACTGGGGAATCTCCCGCTGTCTGTGGCTGCAGGTCGCTGTCAGAATACCTGAACAGAACTGGCAGCTCATTGACTTTGTTTGAAGATGATCCAACTGGCTCCTTTGATCAGCTGATCTAGGGATGCCGGCCAAAAGAGTGCGGACAGCAGCAGCCACTGTGTGATTTTCAGTTCATCAAGAACTGCCCGATATTTACTAAGCCCTCGTTCCCACCTCTACGCTCGACGAACACTCTACAAAACGCTCAAAAATATAAATCCCATTGTATTCAATGGTCTCGTTCCCACCTTGGCGTATTTCCGCCCGTCCCTAACGCGCTACAAAACGGCCCACGCCTGAAAAGGTACAGGTACTACTTTGGGCCGTTTGTTGCGCGTTTCCATTGGGATACAGCCAAGTAGCCTTTGGAAACGTGCGTTTGTCGTGCGACTTTTTTTACCGCGAATTGCGGTAGAAAAACGCGCGACGGTCGCGCATATGCAATACGCCTAGGTGTGAACGAGACCTAACAGGGTTATTCACTAAAGGGTGAAGAGCTTGGAGAAGGGAGCAGTCTAGGACAACATAGCTGAACACTTCTCCTGCATTCTCCAAAGGTTTGTGACTGGCCCTGATAGCGTATGGCCAGCTTAACCCTTACTCTGCTGTTGGCCACTCTGGGCTGCTGCATATGTTGTATTTATGAAGCTGTGTTGAAATTGAATTGAATTGCTGTATCGCATACAAGTGACCGATTTCCTCTTTTCTCTTTTACAGTCTTGGTCTTCGCAATGGGCAAAGAAGGAGTCCACGGAGGCGGCTTGAATAAAAAGGCATTCGCAATGGTGAAATACTTGAGAGATATGGGATTCTAGCTTTTAGGCCAACTTACATTCTAGGGGAAAACAGACAAACATTGCTACTAAACTTTCCTGCGTGAACAAAGCATTCTTTATCTGGAAATGTTATTAGCAATACAATGGGGTGATGGGGGATGATCCTGTGTCTCCTTTGTATCCCTATTTTGGTGGGGAAAGTTGTTGTCTTTCATTTTTTTTTGTTTTCTTTTAAATTTTTTGTGTTTTTAAGCAATTGATTTTTCATGCAAATTGTGTCCATAAGAGGACAACCCAACAAGATGTTTTTGTTGACTGCTTTTACCCTCCTCGAAGGCTTTACTACTGAGCAGCATCTCCTGCCGGCTATGTCTTTCCATTGCATCTCGTCTGTCCATCAGACTGTAGATTATAGTTACAGTTTGTCTTTCATTTAACCATATTTTTTTTCTTGTTAGCGTGACAATATTTCTGTACCACCCGTTGCAGTCCCGTAATGTGAAACGCGTGGCTTTTCAGTGTTATGTACGCATAGGCTGGTAATCCATATCTGTTGGTATACTGAGTGTCCGACCCATATGTTAACATTGTGTTTAGAAGTCAGGTGGTAAAAGGGTGGGTGCTTAGCCCAGTTTTAGTACATTGAATGTGCACCTTGCCACAAACTGTACCTCAATTAAAGCCGTTTGAATCTGTACTCGTCTAAAGTACAAAGTAGTTGCCTCACTTTAAAAGCAGATTGCATTGTAACTTAAACCCAGTTTGCCATCAGATAGTCTTAGTTTGTGCTGTTCTACTACCAGCACAAGTCTTGCAGCACATGCTGGTGTTGTCCTGTACAAAGTCAGGGCTTAGTATATGAAGTAGAGGCCTAATGACTTAGGTCAGCAGGACTGCAGCAAGGCATGGGCAGCAGCTAGAAGAAGAAGAATGGTGCACAAGAAAACACTAAGCATGATGCAGATTTGTACATCCGTTGGATCGATGCGTTTTGAGCGGTTTGAGCATATATACAGCTCAACTTAGTCTTCCTTTGCTCAAACACAGGTGGAGATCGCTACTTACAATAGGAAACACTAGCGCCACGTTTTGCTACTCTAAAGTTATTGTAAAGCAATTTTACCTGTTTTATTTGTCTTCTGAATTTTCCCTCCTGTATGTAAACATGACTGCAGACTACAGTGCCACAAGACTTCTGCTTTGGCATTGATCTGCTCGGAAGGACACGCTTGTGCGTTTTTAGTGCAATAACGTAAATAATATCATCTTTCTCCGACACTAGAGTGTATGCCAAATCCTTTTTTTTTTTTTTTAAATAAAAGTTTTAAAGCCATTTACTAGTTTATTCTTTTGTCATGGTTGTGGTGGGAAAATTCTCTTTTAAACGATGAAATCTTTCTTTTGAAATCCTCCACCTTGTATTGCTGCACAGGAGAAGGATTTCATTTCATGTGGAGGGAGGAGACTCAGACTGACACTTTGTTGATCTGTATTATCTGTCCATGGCTATATTATAGACCAACCCATATCAGAGAATGATTAGCCCGCTACTATTCAATCTTTTTCTCCCTCAAATAGATCAAGTCGTTGTCCAACCTGTTATGGTTGTGATCGTTTGACATCAGTGTAAGTTTCCGTTCCCTACTGTCACACCTTTAGTATGGACGTTGGCTGCTCACAGATCCTTCTGTATTAAAGAATTCTACACAAAATACTGATTTAGTTCCAAGTGTAGGGGGAGCTAAGAGCAGCCGTAGGGTGAAATCTATCGGTACGTGGTGATCTCGTCACCTCTCTGCGTGGGCCGTGTTTCACTCATTCTGCCTACAGTGTAGAATGTGTCAACACACCGGGACAGAAGCAGAGGAACTCCGCTGCATCTGATCCTCACCCGAGAGCGGCCTTTCTCAACGTTTTTCACAAGGAGGAACCCTTGAAATAACTTTACAGTCTCAGGGAACCGCTGCTAATAAATCTACAGCTCACGGTACATTAGTGTGATGGGTCAGTGGGAAGAATGAGCCCTACATTTGTGGGCAGTGGGAAAAATGAGCTCTACATGTTAGGCCAGTGGGAAGAGTGAGCCCTACATTGGGGTCGGTGGAAAGAATGAGCTCTATATTGTGGTCTGTGGGAAGAATGAGCCCTACATTTGTGGGCAGTGGGAAGAATTACCCCTTGATTTAGGGCCGGTGGGAAGAATGAGCTCTATATTGTGGTCTGTGGGAAGAATAAGCTCTACATTTGAGGCCAGTAGGAAGAGTGAGCCCTACATTGTGGTCAGTGGGAAGAGCGAGCCATGCATTTGGGGTCGGTGGGAAGAATGAGCCCTTGATTTGAGGCCAGTGGGAAGAATGAGCCCTACATTTGTGGTCGGTGGGAAGAGTCCTCCCCTTACAAATGGCTAAAAAGATCATTGGTGTCAGTGGTTACTTATCTGAGAGGCAGACATTGCTCATTGTTCAAGCAAACCTTGGCAACCTCTGGAGGAACCTTTGGGTTCCACAGAATCCTGGTTGAGAAAGGCTGCTTTAGAGGTTGTAGCAGCTCCCCCTAGTACGTAGAATCAGTAGTTTCTAATCTACCACAGAGGCTCCTGGTCAGCCAGTCAACAGGGAATATCCTAAAACGGATCTCCCTCATATTCACGTGGTTAGTCTTCATAGGACCAATTGCAGCTACATATGACCCATCTTAAGGAGATGACTACCACTTTCAGTCTCATCATTCAGCTTCTTTTCATTGGCAGGTCTGAGAATGACGTCATTGCTGCTGGATTATTATCTCCATATCGTTTTAGGGGGTTGGTAGTTTTGAAATAGTGCTGCTGACAAATATTAACACAAACATTGCTGCAGAAACCGTTCATTACATTTCTTTGTATTATTTGAATAGTGTATAACCTGGTTGTCAGTTAAAATGCATTACTCACTCTCTCTAATAATAATAAAGTACGAGTTCTTTGTACTAAAGAATAGTAGATGGCATTCTTTCGAATGAAGCGGGCTGTATTTGTGATGGCTTCATATGTATTCTGTGCCATATGACAGTATGGAGGCGTGAGAGGGGTTTTAACTGACACAAAGGTCTTACTTCCTCCGAAATGGCACTTCTGTAAGGACATTTTAGACTTTTGCTTCTGTTTTGTCTTGTGTATCATGTACAAACTGTAAACACTTGTTCATTTGTCCATTTCTTTCCCTGCACTTTTGTTACATCTGGGATACAGTCTAACTCATCTGATTTAATATGCATTTCAAGAAATGCCATAAACTATTAAACCACCTTGTTTACAGACAGATGAAATTAAATTTATTCCAACCAAATGTATGAGTCGTGTCATGTCTTCAGAGGATGCGGGAAGGGGTAAAACTTGGGGAACATTGCATTGCTGTCTACTTACTGATTTATAGTGAGGTGGGTCAAACAAGATCAAAAACCCAACTAAATACACGCAGTGGGACGACATTAAAACTGAACTTCAGGCAGATAAAAAAAACACCTTGTAATCAATTGATTGTATGTCACAGGACACAGGGTGTTAAATTCCTTGACCCCTGGGTTATACAACTACCTTCTGGTGACAAACACTGGTAATTGATCAAAGCTGCAGCACAGCCCTGCATAGCCCCTCCCACTCCTTGCCTGCTTCACTCTTTTATGTAGGACTTTTAAGGTCTCAAACACTTAAATGTGGACAAGAAAATGTACAAAACTTTTTATTGCTATATAGACAATATTTGAGAAGATTTCACTCATATATCTTCCTGAATATTATGTTTATTTGTGAATAAGTCTAACCTTTTAGTATCCTTGGATCTGTTTGATGCAACCTGAGGTTTGGTCCCAGGGTCCAGGGACCCTGGGTTCATATTGACTGACACCAAAGGGTCTTTTAGAGCTTGCCCTGCCCTACTGCATGGACCTCCTCCACCAGATGTTTTTGAATACGTGCCCTCTGCTCAATAAATGGTAATCTACCGTATATCTACCAATTCATCAAAAAGTGGGTGCAATATGAATTCACAAAACATGAATCATCAAATATACATACAACAATCTATTATATAAAACACAAAGTATGCTCTCAGTGAAAGAAAAGCTATAATAATATTGTGTAAAGTTGCAGGGAAGAGACAACTACACTGCTCTAGTGTTCATAAGTATGCTCCCAGTGAAACACCAATGATAATACTGCAATCTAGGCATAGAAGTGCATCTTGTGGCCGTACTCCTAAGCAATCCTCTTCCTTCCAAGTAATCACTCGATCCACTCACCAGATGCGGTGGATCTCCATAATCCTCTTCAATGTGATTGGGTTCCCATGTGCAAAATAAAGCCTGATGCTTGTTTCCGGGGGTAATATGCAATTGGCTCAGATAAAGTAATACAAGAAAACATACGAAAGTGTAAAACCGCATTCACATTTTTAGAAAATACTAGAATAAAAACATTAACAGATGCTCCATCGCACCATGTAATGGACCCAATACCACCGCACCGCTGCTGTTACTTCCTGGTATGTGCAGTGTGACATCAGTGTCCCTACCCCTCCAACATGTTTCTTCATGTGACTTCCTCAGGGATGGGCTACTCCTCCACCAGATAATTAGGATCAGCCTTTTGTAGGTTCACATATAGCAAATCTTTTTGCTCAGGGGCTGGTCTGCAGAGTTTCCTGCAAGAAACTCGGAGGGTGCATGTCCTTCACTGGAGGAAGCCTGGGATACTTACATGAAAGAAGTTATATGGGGAAGAGTACCTTATGGCCTCAGAAAAAGAAGTCTGATTCTGGTAGCAAAGTCTTCTGCTCTCTCCCTTCCATCCTCTGCAGACCCTGCAAGGCCTGCTTCTCAATTAAGGGGTGCTCCAAATTTTACAAGTGGGAGGAACGTCTTTCGGCCTCTTTAGCGGGTGACATTTCCAAAGCCTAGATTCAGCGTGTCATAACCAAAGACTACAAGATTCAGTCTGCCCTTATCTCCTCAAGGGTGGGAGGCCAACATGTTTCAGGGGTTTTACTCCAACCTGTTCATTGTCCCCAAGGAAGGGGCTCACCCTATTTTAGAGCTGGAGACACTCTAAAATAGGAAACAACTTTTGTTCCTGTGCACCCAAAAGTTCTGGATGGAGTCCACCCATTCAGTCATTGCCTCCATTCACCCAGGAGATTTCCTGGCCTCGGTAGACATCAGGGAGGTGTATTTACACATCTCTACTGTCTCCTACCTGCGTTTTGCTGTACTGGGTACCCAGTATTTTCAATTTGGTGCTCTTTCCTGTCTTTACTATGATGTGCCCCCATTCCAGGATACAGTAATACCTTGGTTTACGAGCATAATTCGTTCCGGAAGCATGCTTGTAATCCAAAGCGCTTGTATATCAAAGCGAATTTCCCCATAGGAAATAATGGAAATTCAGACGATTCGTTCCACAACCCAAAAATATTCATATACAAATGAATACAATACTGTACTGTAATATAATACTGTACAAAATATAAAGACAAATAAACTGATTACCGGTACCTTTGTGGCTGGTGTGAGGGGGACGAGAGAGAGGAGGATTATTGTGTAGGACAACTTTCACTATCACTAACGGAATCACTGCTATCTCTTGACTCAATGGAATCTTTTTCATTTCGTGAAACCTTAACAAGGAATCTATCCAATGTGGCATTGCGTTGTTGTTAAACAGACTCATCGCTCGCACTGCTACAGCCTTATTCGGGTGGCGCTTTTCTACAAAATGTTGCTCTTATTGCAAGACATTGCTTGTATATCAAGGCAAAAATTTTCAGAAATGTTTGCTTGTCTTGCAAAACGCTCTCAAACCAAGTTACTTGTAAACCAAGGTATTACTGTACTTGGAAGATCCTTCAGGCACTTTTACTATGATGTGCCCCCATTCCAGGATACTTGGAAGATCCTTCAGGCACTCCTTTAATTGCAGGCATGCTTTTCTTATTCTGTTCTTTGTTGGGGTTATTGTTCCTAAGCCATTCCTCACTGTGTTGCCTGTCCCTCTGTTGCACTACTTTTGAACATCCTAGTGTTTAAATAATTTAAGTCCCTGTGTGCTGTACAATCAAGCAAAATCCATTTTTTGAGTACAACAAAGGACTCTTCCCCTGTGTATAGCTTGCTACAAAGCTGAGGCAGGCTGAGATTGGGAGGGGTTATGCAGGACTATCCAGTAGCTTTGACTGATTACTATTTCCCAGTGTCCAGTCACCTGCAGCTAGCTGTCTAAGCCAATGGTTGGGTGCAGGGAGGACACGTAGCTGTCGTGTCAGCTGGCTGGCTTTGCTATCTGGCAGGACTGGGCAATACACAGGACCAGAGAGATAGAAATACAGAACCTTTGGCAGGTAAAACCGTTCCGTATATGTATTATTTGGTTTTTAGCCATTTGCTCAGGATTCAGCTTTAAAGTAACCTAAATCTGAGGGAAGTATAGTGCAGATGTTGTAGGTTTGCCCACTTATAAAGAAAGGAAAGGTCTATGATTTTTATCATAGGTGTATTTGAAATGATAGAGACAGAATATCAGCCACAAATCCAGAAAAAACACGATACAAATGTTATGAATTGAGTTGCAGTTCAGTGAGTAAAAAGTCAGGTTGATATTCTGTCTCCATCATATAAAATACACCTATGATAAAAATCATAGACCTTTCCTTTCTTTATAAGTGGGCAAACCTACACCATCTGCAGGGAATCAAATCATTCTTTGCTACACTGTATGTAAGATACTGACCACTCCTGAAAATGCTACTTGCTTGTCTGTTACGCCTTCGGTATTTAAAGTCACTCTGTGAAAAAAGATTGCAAATGCAGGTGCAACTGACTTTACTTGCAGCATGCTTGTTCCAGGTCAGTGACTCAAAGTACTGAAGAGCTAGTCAGGCATGTAGTATTTTCCAGAGGTCAGCCATGACTGCACACATACGTCTCGTAGTACAGTAAAAGGACCAGTCCATCTAGAACTGATTGGTAGATGCTGCAGAATAATGGCTTCTCCTAATTATGTTTCTAGGCTTGCACACCTGCTGTAATCGTATACTTCCTGTTGGATTTATTTGATATTTTAGTGTGAATACAGCAGCAGCATGAGTGGCAACAAAGCCAGCTACTATCACAGGAAGCTCTTTCCCATAAAGCCTTCAAGAGTTCTAAGAATTCAGTGGTGACACAGCCCACCATACGCCACCTGAACAGTCACTTGGGTGGATTGTGCCATAAAAATGAATAGCAATAGATAGATACTCCTATCTAATGCCTCAGAAATCCAGAAACAAGGGGTTATAAGCAAATGTGCCACGGGGGGCATAGAGGAATGTTTTACATTTGTCCTAAAATCATGACTAGATCCCCTATTTTCAGCTGTCAATTTTCTTTTAGATAGAGCGGATGAGTCAGGTCCTTGTAGGTTTTAATTGTGTGCCCATTGGGCAGGTTTCCTCAGTCCCAGGGACCCAAGCAGCAATACAAACTGACTAAAATCCCTCCCCACACTATACAAATGCAAGTGTCCTTGTTGTGGACATTCCCCTCACTTCCGGTTTGCAGCGGCCAACAATGACAGTATTACAATCCAGCAGCAGTTCTACCCCTTCCCCACTGTATTAAAAGCAATCCTCAGAGTCATTGGCATACAGCTCGTCACTGCTGCAGAATTTAATCATGTCCACTTATAAGAAGTGTGAAAACCTTTATTGCAAGGTTTTATTTTTCAGTTTCTGAGTAGCAACACTGCATGAAATATTTTATGTTCCAAGTCTTAAAGCGGACCTTTACCCATATGTTTAAAATAACAACAAACACAACTTTAGAAATGTTTAGTAAGGACAATCTACAAACACATACTTCTAGATAATTGTCGGCTTTGTATTCTTTACATTCCTTATTTCTCTTTTCTTCCCCAGTCTTCTGACAGTGGCCATGTTTACTAAAGGCAGATTACTAGCTCTCCTATTACTTCCTGGATTTCTGGCACATGTGATTAGACATGTGACAAGGACATGTGACCATGCACACCTTCTCAGGAGAGGAAAATGCCTTTCCATGAGATCCCGTGAGATTACAGATGGGATTTCCCAGCAATGCTCTGCTGATGACAAGGCAATCCCAATATGCATTGCTTTGGCAAACTGAAGTCATTTTTACATTTCAAAGCAGGAAGTGAATGCTCTGCAAGTGTAAGTATTTCAAAATCACAGCATTTTACACCGGACATGTCTATGTTATTATTAATCATCATACATAGAGGGATGCCTTGGTAGAATTTGATTTAGGAGTGTAAAGGTCCGCTTTAAAGTGGATCTGAAATATTCAACTTCTGCATACCCATCGCACATGCATAGTGTGAACAGAGCACATAGAACACAATTGTTTTCTATGTGTCCTGTGTGCACCATACATATGCAGGAGAATGTACACAGTGACAGTAATACACATCACTTCCGGGTTCAGTGATCGGAGGAGAGTTCAGTGGCTGGAAGCCTGCTGATCTCTCTCTCTGATCGATGCAGGGAAAACCCACCGTGCTGGTGCTGGGGGAACAGCGGCGGCCCTGGCGCGGGTGATGACGCGCAACACTGCACCGTACAGATAATCCGGTACCTGTACAGAAACAGCAATCGCCTGATGTTTAAAACGATACCAAGAACAGGGCTGCAGCAGCTGTACATGTATGGCCACCCGCAGCAAGTGGTTAACTGAACAGACTGATAAGAAGCTGATTGGTTACTATGGGCAACTGCTCCAGATTATGTCTGCTCCAGCTTTTATAAATCTCCCACCCATTGGATTTAGCTGATTACCTGAGGTTCCACTTCCTCTAACTGGTTAAAATATCAGTAGGGTTAAATGTGTGGACATGTCTGAAATGAGCTCACTAGACATACTGACTCCCGATCCGTTTTGTATTTTCATTCTTATTAAACTTTTGGAAATATTACTTCTCATGAAAGCCTTTTCACTTAATACTTGTTTAAACACACCCCAAGTTTTCCCAGATGAAGGCAATACTTATACATTGGTGTTCAATTAGTTGTAGATCTCACATCTTGTTATTCACTAAACCCAACTCAGTCAGTCATTCATCACGGAGGGGCAAAAACAGATCGGGATAAACCCTACACAGCTAATTGCATTGGTAACAATATGGGAACCTCGCCTATGAATTCTGCTCTCCCTTGGATTGGTACTTACTGGAGCTCCCCATCATATACATGATTCTGTACTACAGAATACAAATGTATTCAGATCTATTGGGCAAGCAGGCCAGATCTTCATTTCCTGTAATACGGAGATATCATTCACTCCACACACCTCATCAGGTGGGAAATCAAATTTTATTTTTAAACTTCAAGTCATGTGATATAAAAAGAAAACCTTTACACACTTCTAACTAACTTTGTATATTGGTACAACGTTCATATCGTCCTCATACAGTGAATACATACGGTTCATGAATTTCATAAGCTTCGGCTTATTGTGCATTTGTTCCAGAGAATCTATACAAAGTCAGGAAACAAAAAAATAGAATCTGCTTGAGGTGGCCAGCTTGAACAAAATGATACTTCCATTCCAGATCCTGGAAACACTCGCCTGCGTTATAAACAATGTTTTTCCTGCAGACATTTGTATTGGTTTCATTTGACCTAAATGATTGTAAACCTGAAAGTTACCTGGACAATGGCCATGTTTTCCTGTGCATCCATCATCACTGGGTCACAAAGGCCACACATCTCCTCCGCCTTCTGTAACTAAAGCATACTATAGTCTGCAGAACTAGATTAAAGCCAGCGTTAAAAGTCCAATGTGCATAGCAAGGTGTGTACAAAGACATGCTGCACCACTAAAATGTCTTTCATAAAAATGAGGTGCCCCCGAGCTCCAGAGATGTTAAGGTGCAGAGACAGAGAGTGAGAAGAGAGAGAAAACCATGCAAGTATTGCAGGGTAGTGTCCAAGAGAAGAACTAAAGCAACTTTCATATAGCAGCTTTACATTTTTACATACTCTGTACATTACACAGTATATTAGCCTTGCAGCCTCAGAGGCTAAAGCTAGGAGGCAGCAAGTGGTCTGTTACTACAGACTTATTTTGGGGGAAAAATAAAATCTAGCATCATAAATGATTGACAAGCACTTAATGATTCTCCAGTCATGATTCACACAGTGTTTATCTCTCTGGACTCCTGCTCCATGTTGTGCTGTAGCTGGACCACAACACTCTGTGTATTATGTTGCTCATCGCTACTGTCACTGTCATCTGCATCGTCGTCGTCGTCATCATCATCCTCGGAGGAGGAGGACTCCACTATGCTCTGATGAGAGTGAGATTGGGATATGGCCCCAAATGACTGAGCACTGGCAGAAGGTGTGGGTCGGAGCAATGGAGTGTTTTCTGAGACATCGTTATCTTCCTGGCTGCTGTCTGAATCAGAATCCGAGTCCCCCTGGGATGGGACAACCTTCTGCTTGCACACAGGACAGGTCTTCTTTGTCTTTGTTAACCACGGGTCAACACACTTGCTGTGATAGGCTAGCAAGATAAAAGAAAACATCATTACATCACGCTTTCCCATTTCAGGCATCGGCCTCAATAGACTGAATGCATTCAGAGGAAAGTATTTGACCAATGCTGAATTATAGTGTATGTAGAAAAGACTTTGTGACTCCACCTTACCCTCATGTCTGACAATTCAATACTTAAAGTGGATGTGAGGAGGAATCACCGAGGAATAAATACAGAGTGTATATTACATCTATAAATGACACCATTCCTGTCATAAAAAGGATTTAAATACAGTTATCTTTCCGTTTCATTTGGTCACATGACCGCCACTGGGCAAACATGAACCAAGTGATGTACAAGACAGTGGACAGGTATGAAGCCACAACCAGTGACCTCTAATCCCAGCAGTCCTTGCTTCCCTACCCACAGCTGTCTGCGATCTGCTCTCCCAGAGCCACTGTCAATAAAGCTTGGCAGGGCGCTGAGGGAGGGGTGTGCAGCACTGTTGGGTAGGATGAGATGCGCTATGAAGAGAATACAAGCATTCGGTGTGTCGCCATGGCTACCGGTGGACCATCCTTGTGAGTGTACATGGTAGGGTGACAACCCCATGGTGATGCTGCAAAGCAGTGATTGAATGTTGTCACCCTACTATAGGTAACCACATAGGCACAGTGATAGCACTACTGCTGGTAAAAACAAATCCATCTGATATACAGACGCACATAGACATGATGTCAATCATTTTAGATTTAGGGTTTACAAACATTTTAAAATTAGTGCAGGTGACCCATGCAAACATTATTCATTACACATCTGAGTACATTGCAAACAGTAATAATTAAAAGTCTTTGCCCCCTACACATGCCGTTCAATAACTGCGACCAATAGGACACATTTTGGCAGTAGCCACATGGTTTGCTACATATCAGCAACATGTGAACATTTCCAACTGGGCATTATGGATGAAACCTCGACCTCCACAGAGAAAAACAAGCAAAGAAGAAGACAGGCAATGCTCATTTTTAGAGCTTGATTATCTGCAATATTGGAAAAGCAATGAACACCCTTCCCTTGCAGTGCTGGGATTATGGGTTCAATCCCTGCCATACTTGGGTGGATTTCCTCCAAGGTGTCACAATCCATAAAATATATTATAGGTTCACTAGGATAGGTCTATTGTGTGTGTACTAGAGATACCAGACTGTGAACCCTTTGTGATAACGATGGATCCATGTTTCCCATACAGCTCTGTGAACAACGTTTCAGCACTAAGTGAGCTTAAAATGAATAATGTCTCAGAAATGAAGAACGGCCTTATATTTCCTAATGTTCTGCTCATGGGTGGGTGTGTTGTACGACTTGCTTTTCATTTTCTAATTGGACGTTGATATGGTACTGTAAGAAAGCAGACTCAGTACATGGGTGAGGACAGAAGTACATTGTGTGTGCCGTGGGCTATTTTATATACTTATCCATTCTGTATCTGGAGGCAGCAATAAATAAAACTTTTGTGGCAATGCTTATGTTGTTGTCCCCATACCGTGGGAGCAAGGCAATACTCGAAGCTTATCTCCTTCTTCATATTCATCCAGGCAGACGGCACATACATCATACACATCACCTGGAATACATAGAACAAGGTTTATTTACTCCATCAAACAAATATGCAGCTAAGCGGCCAATAACACCGATAGTTCTCTGCATTTCACATAAAACAACACGGAACATTTGCATCATACCCACTAGCTTGCTCTAAGGTATGTTAGTGAACCATTTTCTTTCAAAAGCAACAATCATCTCAGTGTAATGTTTAGCACAATGTTACTTAATAGAAATCCACATGACTCAAAAGTCAGCAAATTGTTTTAGGATTACCAATAGTGCACATGTACAGTGATGTCACAGAGCAACAGGACCACCTGGGCAACAAAAACCATAGCCAACCGCGCCTCCCAATATAACCTAAATGTTACCAGCACACCTATGTCTTGTGTCAATAATCCATCTTCTTTATTGATGCAGACTGTCACAAAACAATGTTTCAGGGCCACGCAGGGTAGGGGCGTCCAGAGGCTGGGTGACACCCGAAGCGGTTACCGGGTGTCACCCCACCGACTCGCCAAGATGTCATCACGCGGCAATCTTGTGATACTTGGTGATGGACGCCGGCAGAGAGAGTCCAGTCACCTGGCGGGATAAGGTATGCCGCCGGGTCCCCTCCTCTCTCTCCTGATTCAGAGGGGGGTTGACATCAAAATGACTGTCAGTCATTTTGGTGTCACCCCTCCAATGGTGTCACCCGGGTGCGGAACGCACCCCCCCTTGTGACGCCACTGAAGCAGGGTCTCCTTCTTAGTATGACGTCATACTAAAACCTGATGAAGTGGAACCTGCTTGGCCCCCTAAACGTTGTTTTGTGACAGTCTGCATCAATAAAGAGGATGGATTATTGACACAAGACATAGGTGTGCTGGTAACATTTATCATATATTTGAAGATGCACGGCGCCATCCGTGGTTACTACAGCACCCTCCTTCATACATAGGGGTTCCGGTAAGGAGTGCAGCAGTTCCTCTCCAAGATCTCAATATAACCTGTCCTTGTGGGTTATGATATATGGGAAGACCAGTCCGGACTTTTTGTCTGAATACAGATCAAAAATAAAACCCAGATTAAGGAGCAGAGTGTGTTACAACATACCTACATCATCCACCAGAGACATCACAACCTTCTATCAGCTACTGTAATCAAACAAATACCTACCAGGACACACAGCAATAGGCACAAAAGACTCCAATAGACCATTTTTAGATTTTTTTATCTGAGAAAACTTCATGTGGAAGGACTCAGTGAAGCAATAGAGATGTTTTACCTGATCAGTGACCTTGGAACTGTTCTCGGTTTCTTTTATTTCCTTCTTTATGTTTCTCCTCCTTCCCCTTTCTTCCCTTCCCTTAGCCAGAGTTGACAGGATCCCGATGACTGACAGACAAATACATGTAGAAAAAGTTAGGAGTTTTCTTCCTTGGCGTATCATATTGGTCACACAAGATGCCTCCCACCGTCCAATGACCTTACAGCACGGCGTGTACAGACAACAAATTGGATCTGGGTCTTTAGCTTAAAGGAGAACTATGAGGAGTGCTTTTCACTCACTTCATAGTTCTAGCCGACCTGTGACAATGAGACTGTCACAGGTCGGCCTGTCACGGCTCTCTGCTGGATTCCCCCCTCCCTGCTCCGCCAGCGCTGACTGGCGGAACGGACGGGGGTGGGGGCGTGTACAGCTGGCTCTGCCTCTAGATAGGCAGAGCCAGCTGTCACTCACGCAGCTGGGCGGATCCAGACATAATTGTCGGTATCCAGTTCAGCTGCGGCGTCTCCGTACACCTCGCGGTATACTAAGCTTAGGGTGACGGGAGGACGCTAGTTTGTGTCCTCTCATTACCCTAAGGAGAACTATGGGGAAAAGCCCTAACCTCATGGTTCTCCTTTAATTTGTGAGTATTAACAGCACAACAAATATTACAATTGAGACAGAATTGCTCTTCCTTATATTTAGAGATCTGCCATTAGAAACTTTGGAGGATGATGTTTAGTTCAGTGTTCCTGTTCTGTCAGTCACTAAGAGCATCTGCTCCATACTGCAAACAAACAAAATGTGACAAAGCAAAAGGAATTTCACATCAAAAATCAATCCAAAATAACTTTACACATGGAGAGTGTCATGAGGGATAAATATAGGTTATGGCTTAGGATGAGGCAGTCTTTGTTACATACTTTCTTCCTGATTCATTACAGATGCTGAAGTCGAATTCTTACAGCATCCAAATATTTACATGTTGGAGAACTGCTCCCCATTGTGGGGGGAAAAGTCTCCCTTTACCGTACAAGGAGACATGGCAGCCGGCCGCCTGCACCACAGCATGTATTACACCGTCAGGATAGACAATATAGGAAGGCAAACACTATACTCTTTGTTAAACGGCTACTAACTAATATATATATATATATCTATATATAGATATCTATATATGTTATAAAATGTTGTGCACACACACACCATTCTCCCTAAAAAATAAAAAAAAAGCGTACTTTAGCGTTGATGGAGGAATCTGTTGCACTTTTTCCATCTGACCATAGAAAATCTGCAGGTGTATGGCCGGGTTTATAATAATACTGACATGGAGATACAGCCCTCTTCTACAAAGCAGCAGTGGGCGGAAATATCCGAGTGGAAGAGATGTGATTTCAGATCCACTTGCAGCTAAAAACAGACAGCTTAAAGCATCAGGAAAAGCAGTAAGCTGTGAGAGGTTGGGATTCTTATGCATTTCTATACAGAGGGGTCACAATCATTAAGCAGTATCATTTTCCGTTGATAACCTTTCAGCAGATAACATGCAGAAGGTATTAATGAATAACAATTCGATTTTATAAGCTTACTGCTATTGAGTCTTAACGCAACAACAGAAATCTTCAACCTTCATGCTATGTAAGGAGGTTGGCACTTGCAGTGTCAAGTACTCTGAGAACATGAATGAGGCACTTAACAGATTACAGCAGAATCTTCCAGCCTTCATAACAAGCACTGCTCACAGCTCACAGAAGGAACAAGCAGCTCAAGCGCATCTAATGCAGGACCTTCAACAAAATGCAGCAAATGTTGCACAAAAGAAAACAAAAAAACAAACCCACGAAGCTGCACAATAAAACTAGATTATGAAGAGGAAGGGCATGTAGAAACAGTACTCATTGCATCCAATGATAAAGGTTTTGGTGTAGAAAAGCCATTTGTAAAGCCGATTAAAGCTTCTGTTCAGCCTCCTGAAGCAAGCAAAATACTGTGACAAGAGGATGAGAAGGGTGCCCAGCCCAATGTGGGATCCGACTGGAGTGACTTGGAGCTTATGTAGGACTGAACTTGCTTACTCCTGGTGGGGGAATGGATCAGCATGTGATCCATGGAGCTGTGCAAGGGGCATTCATGTCAACCTATTGCTTTGTGCTGCATGGGCAAAGTAAACGTTTCATAACAGTTCTGTGGGTTTTAGTGCTCCATCATCTGTTCATATTGCCGCAGAAGTAGCTTAATAGTAGAAATATTTTGGGGCAACACCAAAATCTTTTCCATCCTAACCTTCTTACATTTGCCATGGTAACAACAATATCTAGACAGATATTCTTATAAAGATGCTAGGACTTCAAATTGCACTGTAAAAGTACTCTTAAAGACTGAGAGATGACAGTGTGTACATTGCCTAACCCCCTGCTCCACTGCATCATGTCAGAGGAATTAAAATTTGCCTGCTATGGGTACACCGACATCTGTGCACTGCAAATAATCGTGACCAATATCCTGGACTCTCTCCAGCAGGAAGGTTTCTTAGTGCAGTAACAATGGTTGATTTCTGCATGAGATATTGTACAGTTGTATCGGGTATCCTTGGAACCCTGCGAGCTCTGCCTCATGACATGGGAACATTGGGTATGTGTTCACAGACCAGGGGTGTGGAAATTTTGGAAAAAACGACTTGTCCAAGGACTAAAGCGGGAGCCGAATCTACTTGTCCCTCATGACAATCTACTTGTCCTGATACAAAAAAAATAATTTTAACCAAAACCGTGTTTAGCAGTGCTAAGAAGCGCTTCTCATTGGTCAGTGCCGTCAGGTGACCGCGTTGACCAACGAGTGCTTGCAATTTGCGAGCGAAATTCAGAATACATGGAACAGGTACAGATAGTACACCCGTATTGGTGGAGGGGGAAGGACCGTTCGCCGAAAGGTAAGTATAGTGGGAGGGAGATTTGTGCGGGTAATTCCGTTTTCCCTAATTACTTGGGAAAGTGAATTTACCCTTTAGTGTAGGTGCAGACCTGCGGATTCCCAGGACGTGCGATCGTGTGCGGTAGCCTCCGCATGTATGGGGTTGCATCTGGGTGGCAATCGCTGAAAAAAAGGTACACGTACCTATTTTCACCACATGCACCGCGCAGTGTTTTCAACCGTGATTGCTGGAGGAAAACGCGCAATCTGCCTGGCACGACTGGGGTGACATTACAAAATAATGGCACTGACAGCACGATCGGCGGTGGTGTGCGATTCCATGACCACCCAGCCATCCGCTCGGTTTCGTGCACGATGACCGGGCAATCACAGATCGCACACCACCGCCAATCGCGCTGGCTGTGCCATTATTTTCTAATGGCACCCCAGTCGTGCTGGGCAGGTTGCGGCATTTTCTGAGCGGTAGCACACAATCGCAGTTTATTCACATGCAGATGTGGCAGCGGGACTGGTTTTCATTTTTTATTTACTTTGTAAAAAAATTTCATTTGTTGTATTATTTTTACATTTTTATTTAGTTACATTTTTAACTATATACAGTAATACCTTGGTTTACAAGTAACTTGGTTTGAGAGTGTTTTGCAAGACAAGCAAACATTTCTGAAATTTTTTGCCTTGATATACAAGCAATGTCTTGCAATAAGAGCAACATTTTGTAGAAAAGCGCCACCCGAATAAGGCTGTAGCAGTGTGAGCGGAGTCTGTTTAACGACAATGCAACGTCACATTGGATATATTCCTTGTTAAGGTTTCACGAAATGAAAAAGATTCCATTGAGCCAAGAGATAGCAGTGATTCCGTTAGTGATAGTGAAAGTTGTCCTACACAATAATCCTCCTCTCTCTCGTCTCTCCCTCACACCAGCCACGAAGGTACCTGTAATTAGTTTATTTTCTTTATATTTTGTACAGTATTTTATTACACTACAGTATTGTAATAATTTTTATATGAATATTTTTGGGTTCTGGAACGAATCATCTGAATTTCCATTATTTCCTATGGGGAAATTCGCTTTGATATACAAGCGCTTTGGATTACAAGCATGCT